TTACCAAAATTAAAGTTACCAGATGAAAAAGATAATTTGATTGTTAATACTGATGCCTCAGATAAATATTGGGCAGCAATATTAAAAACAGATCTAAATGAAATTTGTAGATATTCAAGTGGAACCTTTAGCAAAGCAGAAATAAATTATACCACTTATGAAAAAGAATTACTAGCGATTATTAGAGGAATAAAAAAGTTTTCATTATTTTTATTATCCAAGAAATTTATTGTTGAAACTGATAATTCTCAAGTTGTAGGATTAATCAGGAATAAGTTACCCTCAGAATCACGATACAGAAGATTTCATAGATGGCAAGCTTATTTAGCATTTTATAATTTTGATATAGTCTATATTAAAGGAGTTAATAATTTTCTTGCAGATTTTCTCAGCAGAAATATAGAATTTGCTGATGGATAAAGCCAAGGCCATGGAGTTATACCAATCCATTCTATATATACAAGAAAGAAAAAATTTTCTTAAAAAAGAATCTGAAGATATAAGTTCTGGAGCAACCCAGATCTCAGAAATGTTCGATTCAAATATGAAAATATTGTTGAACATTACCACTGTACATCATAAATATGCCATAGAACTCAAAAACCAAGTTGATGCTATTGCAGCACTAAAAGATATACTGTTTGAAACAGAAATACCAAAGAGCTCAGAATTAAGTTTTCCAAATCAATACCAAACAGGGACAACTAGAAGCAACAGTGGACCTAGACGTGATAACATACCAACTGATAATAAAGGAGATTCCATTTCTGTATCATCAACCAAGAAAGTTATGATACATGGAGATAAAAGAGATACCAAAACAATCAGCATCATAGACCAAGAAGATAAAATCCCTTTAGATTCAAACGAAAAAAAATATGTCGAAATAGTCAAAATCGCTTATGAAATAAAGATAAGTGATTCATATTTCATTTTCCAGGAAATAATGTTTATCCCAGAATAACAGCCATGGAAGAAGATGACCCTTCACTTATAAAAATCATGACAGACTATGGATTCATGGATCTGATATACCCAGGGAAATATTTTATTGAAATTTCAAAGTTTGATAATATATTGATTAAAGAAGTATTCAGATTTGCCAGAGGAAGGAAGATAGTTTTGAAATTCTATTCTATTACTCCAGAATATGATGGAGTCGTTTATTATCCAGTTGAACGCATAATCTCAATTGGATATGTTGCAGTTAATTTCCAAATTGATGTCACAGAATTTAATAGAAAAATTTCAACAGTAACAAAGTCATGGATCAGACATAGGAGAGCACTTGGGATAAAAGTCATATACAACATTGCCGAAAACTTGTTTGATAAAAAATTCTCATGCTTGTGCCAATACGAAAATTGGATGCTGGTATCCAATGGAGGATATGAAAAATCAGAAATTTTAAAAGATTATATTACAAGATTTGATATACATCAATTCCCAGAATGTCCGACCACTATAAAAGAATCCTGCCAACTAAGAGAGTGCCCCAGCTGCATGTGAAAAGATGAAAGAAGAAGACAAAGCATCGTTTTGACAAAGGTGTATAAAGGACAATAATACTACATGTGAAGACATTGAAGATAAAGATGCTCTTTGAAAAATTGAACCAACATGTGAAGATGTAGGCCCAAAGAAGAAAATAGAGAGGCAAGAGTGCCTTTACTGATGTAATCAATGATGTAATAGAGTCTCAAAAACTTGTATAAATAGAGACATTGCCATACAAAAAGATCATTCTATCTTGAATTCTTGAGTTGTAAAGCAATATCCTTTTCTCAGTTTTAAAAACCAGTTTTTCTGAAAACTCCTTGTACCAAAATAAAAGTCTTGTATCAATCCTAATAGAAATAAAATTCCAATATTTTGATATCAATATGAGTTTCTAAATCTTTTTCCCATAGATTCTCGAAAGATCAAGTAGAAAGTTTCCTTCTTGTTTTAGCAAAAAGAGAGTTTTCCTTAACAGAAGTCTAGAGTTTTATTCTTTAGAAGTTGATACAGTGAGAGCAAGTAGCTGAAACAATAACAATTTCGTGAAGGCAGGAGGCCGTTGAAGGAAGCAGTTTACAAATTCAGAGCTCGAAGGTCACTCGGTTCCAAGAATACAGGTGTAGATCAAACCTAAGGTAAAATTATTAAACTTTTGCTAAAATTAGAATGAATCTTTTTAAGATCTTAAAAGAATCGCAGGGATAATTGCATGATGATTATTTTGATAAATGCTAGGATATACAGTTGAAGGATTAGATAATTTATTAGAAAGAATGTTAGAAGAAATAAAGAATAATATATCTCAATTAAAAAATCCAAATTTACCATTTGAAGAATATAGTACTTTAATTAAAAAAATATGAGATGAATGTTGCAGATTATTCTTATTTATTAGATCGTAGAATGATTTTATATTCAAATATCCAAAATAGAGAAAACAGAGGATAAACTGTTTAAAAGATTAGAACATATGTTGCAATATAGAAAGAATCATTTCATTAAGGGTAATATAGACATTTCCATAAAAATGAATAGTAACAAGCCAAATAGAAAAATCTCCCTAGATTTGAACCCTAAACTCTTAGAGAAGAAAACTCTCATCTCATTCTTGAATCAATGCAACCAGCGAACTTAACACAATAACGTTGCTCGCTCCTTCTCAACTAACTTCAATATGTCTCCTAAATTCAATGAAGGTTAATTTTTGACCAGAGATCTAGCTAGGCCAATGAGACCATGTAAAATCTCCCATGTGGTGGTGGATTGTGCCCATAGTACTAGACATGTTCATAGGCCCAAACTATAAACAGGATTATGAAAATGGGAGTTTTGAGAATTGAAGATGGTAAAAGGGATTGTGCAAGACAATTAAGTAAACAAAGTGACGAGTACATTTCGAATATGATTTAGTCCCTGTTTGGCTTCATTTTTTGAAAATGAAAATGGGCGGAATAATGTTTTTTTGAAAAATGAGTGATTGAAAGAAAAGGAAAAAATTTTGATTTACGTGTAATATTATTTTATAGAAGATTGTGTGATTAAAAATAAAAGAGAGAAAAATAGAATGTAATTTAATAAGATTCAAACATGGGCTTAAAGCACAGTGTTAGGCATAATTTCCTCTAAAAACAATTTGGTAAAGTACACTATCTTATAACTTTAGAAATCCTTTTCACTAGAGCTTAACCCACAAGAATAGGAAAAAAAATACCTAAAACCACAAAAATGTCAAAAAGCCAATTGCCAAATAAATAGAAATCTATACTTCTATAAGAAATATCTCAAAAGATCGATTGCCAAATTAAGAGAAATCAAATTGTCTCGGTACTACAACATTTATCTAAGTAAGTGATCGACAGTGAAAACATTTTAAATTTTAGTAACTAAATAGGTTACAAAAACTTCGATGTCCAACTTATAATTTTGCATAAACTCCAACAACCATTTATAAATTAACTTTAATGTGAAAAATTTTACATCTTTCTTGTCTCATAATGAAGTGCAATATGTGAATCTGCATGTTCATATTCTATTTGTCCCGTAATGAAGTGCAATAAGTGAATCTATTTGTTCGTATACTAGTTGTGACTTGCCGTTATTATTTTTGGAGAAGAAGTACAATAACTAGCATTCATTTTCGTGTAGATTTTGCTACTATATAATTAATTTGATGAAATTTTCTAGTTAAAATTTTATAAATAAAAAAAAGGCAATAGAAGTGAGAAATTCTATGTATATCCCATTTGGGTAGAAGTGTATCAAGCATGATAAATAGATAGCATAAATAGATGAAATCTATTGGGGGAAAAAAGATCATTTGCGCACACAAACTATATGTCGAGGATGAAAGTAAAAAAGAAAAAAGTGTTAGGATTTGAAATCGCAAAAAAAAACCATAGGTAGATCATTTGCACGCACAAACTATATGTCGAGGATGAATGTAAAAAGAAAGAAAGTGTTAGGATTTGAAATCGCAAAAAAAAACCATAGGTTGAGAACCATTTGTACCAAATTATTGAGTGTGGTCACAAGTTTCGACGTAAAAGTTGTCAGTGAAATCCAAAACATTACTCTCACAACATCATCTTGTTTGATGTAACTAAAAATTAGATTTTTAAAACTTGATGAAATGAAACTGAAAAGTTATGAATTCCATGAATATGGTTAAAATTAATTGTCGATTTTGACTTAATTTCTATTAACTTAAACTTTTATTAGTTTTTTAAGTTATACGACTAAAACTTATTTTGTGCAAATCAATGCTTACAGTTTACATTCACAATCAATTGTAAAGCTGTGTAAATCTTGACTGCCCATTAAATTAAAATACCCCCAAATTTTCCATCTTCTTGTCCTCCCAAAAGTTGTAGGCCCACATAAATATTAATCATTACAATTTAACATAAAACTATTACAATTTGTTGCCCACGTAATTATCGTTGATAAGAACCGTACACAAACAGCCGGTTGGTAGTTGAACCGAATATAGCCGTCAACGCTTCCCAGCCGAGTCGTCCTCGGCCATAGTACGTGTAATCACACCTACACAGTCATATCGCTGGCCAACATTGATATCAATTGTTTTGGGTTAATTCACCAGCTGGGCATTAATTTTAATACGAGAAAATTGTACAATTTTTAATTTAAAAACACATCTTTTTAACTCAAAATCAATTTTAGAGAGACGAGATTAAAAATTTAAGAATCTTTTATGTTTTTCGATAATGAACACCACACCATACTGCACCACTGTCTCGTCTTTTTCGCTCCCAACAATTATGTAAGCAATTGAATGCACTTCTATATGTTCAAAACTATAGGGTAATTAAATAAACCAATTCTCTCTATAAAAATGTACAAGAATAAAAGTAATATTTGACTGGTGGGAGAATTTGTATTTGGGGGTACAAATGGCACCAATGGTATGTGCACCTATCATTAGGTAACCAAGAACCTGCCCCGAAACAAGAAGACAAGTTCACCTCCCACTTATCTGTCTTTCCTAACACAATTTCTTTCATCTCCCCATTCTACTCCTCTTCCCACAGATTAAATCAAACTCCATTGTACTTCTTGTTTTTCATTTATATAATCTCTCCATACAGTGTTCATTTACATTGAAAAATATATATACAGTTAATCATGACTTTGGCCAAGAGAATTCCCATTTTTCTGCTCAGGCTCCTGGCCTTAGGCGCTGCGGTTACGGCAACAGTGATCACGGTGACAAGCAAGGACACTGCACAATTCTTGAACATGAAATTTGAAGCCAAGTATACAAATTCACCAACTTTCAAGTAAGAATACTTGATTATGATATTGCTTATGATATTTGTGCATTTTTTTTATGATGATATTGATTATGTATCATTGTTATAGAAATTGATGATGATATTTGTGCAATTTTTGCAGGTATTTCGCGTTAATAAATGCAATAGCAAGTGGTTACACCCTTATAATGCTCTTTTTCCCTTCCAAAAGTTCTTGTGGGCATTTGATCTTGGTTTTTGATTTGGTAAGAGACATCATGATTTCTCTGCGTATTAAACCACCTCGTCTAAAGCCTTAAACTTTCATAGAGTGGATAACCTTATTTACTATATTAACATCGACAAGTCCTTTTTGCGCATACCACATTCATTTCTTAATCAAAATTTTGATATTTGCACAATCTTATAAATATGTGTCTATGCATGATCAGACCTCTGGCTTGCCAATGAGGGAACCCCTTAATGGTGCCCAATCATTTTTCATCAGGTCCTCTACTTGTTTAGGCTGGATTTATATTAAAGGCGACATATGACTTATTTCAAGAACTCCAAAGTTCGACATTTGTTCACAGTTTTTTAAGATTAAAGATGGTAACATAGGCTTATTAGAGGTTTTTTTTTTTTTTTTTTTGACAAATTTGCAGATAATGGTGTTGTTGCTGGATTCGAGCATATCAGCCTGTTTGGCTATAGGGCAGGTGGGGAAGAAAGGGAACAGTCATGCAGGTTGGCTACCAATTTGTGGGCAAGTTCCAAAGTTCTGCGACCACGTTACAGGAGCTCTTATTGCTGGCTTTTTGGCTGCAATTATTTATTTTCTCATTTTTCTCTACTCCCTTCACAACTTTCTCAATCTTTTCAATCTTAAATCTTAGGCACTTCTCTTATAAACTTGCCCTTTATCCTATGGGAACATTGTAACTCTCACCAAGAAGCATTAGTAATTTCATAAGGTTTTCTATGTATGGATGTAATGGTTATTATGGACATTTTTGGTTTGATGTACTAAATATATAATTGTACGAGATTAAAGATAAAATGCAAACTTTTGTAGTGTGACCCAAATTCTTGGGGTTTTAGAAGTAGTAGTTGGGTTGATCTTGGAGAGATCAAGTTATGAAATGGGTGCAAAATACACCATATTTTTGCTAGCTCTTCGCTAGTTGGACGCTCAAGCGAAACTATCAAAATTGGAGCAGAGAGGTGTCTCTTGCTTTTCGTCCCACTGTCGTTCGACGCTGTGCGAGCGTTGGAGTTTTCCGAGTTTTTGCATTTTAACGAGTTTTGGACTCCTATTGATCTACAACTAGGGATTTTTGCCATAGCTATAAATACAAAACATCATCCGTTGTAATTGATATAAGTTTTCATGAGTTTTGAGAGAAAACCTTGAGAGAACAAATCTACAACATCTTGTGAGCTTAGATTCAATTGAGAGTATTGAGTCTTGATATTTTAAATGCATTCCTATTAATTATAGTGAATTTTCTCCTCCTCTGTCCATGGTTTTTCCCGAATCGGGTTTCCATGTAAATCTCTGGGTTATTTACTTTTCTGTTTTATTTCATTATTGTCATATCTTGCGATCTGTATTCATAAAAAGTGGTATCAGAGCATAAGGTTGATTTTTGCATGGCAACAATGAAGTATGATATTGTGATGTTGGATTGAAACATGAGGTTTAGTTTATGGCAAGCAAAGATAAGAGCAGTTCTTGCGCAGATAGATTTAGGTGAAACCTTGCTTGGCTTTGATAAGATGCCTTCTACCTAGACACGGGAAGAGAAGTAGCATAGGGATCGGAAAGCCCTGACTCAGAATTATCTTTATCTTTCAAATCAAATTCTTCAGGATGTTCTAAAGGAGAGAAGTGCCGCTGCATTATAATTGAAGTTGGAGCAGCTTTGCATGACAAATAGCTTGACCAGCAAGTTACACTTGAAACAACGCATGTATTCTCATAGGGTGTCTGAAGGTGTGTCATTAAATGATCACTTAACCTTGATCAAAGAAATCGTGGTCGATTTGGAAACTTTAGAGTTAAGTACGACGAGGAGGACTTGGCATTGATGTTGTTATGTTCATTGCCGCCATCATATATGACTTTTAGATATACTATTCTTTATAGTTGTGATACTCTTACAGTGGAGGCAGTCTATGATGTCTTACTGTCTAAAGAGAAGATGAGGCATCTTACGGAAAGATCTGAGGGTCAAGCTAAGGATGTGATTGTTCATGGGAGATGTCAAGATAGAAAGCGTGGCAAAAATATAAGAAACAGGTTTAAGTCTAGGCCTGCTGAGAAGAAACATCATTATTGCAAGAAGAAGAGGCATATTAGAGCAAACTGCTATGCCTTGAAAAATAGAAACAAAGCTGAGGGTGTCAATGATATGGAAAAACGGTCTGTTGATTTAACGGAGGTTGATATTGTGGAAAACGAGCAAAGCGAAAGAGAGTTTGTTATGATCTCTAATATGGGATCCCAACCTTGTGAGGAATGGGTTCTGGATTCAGCATATACTTTCCATATGTGTCCAAATAGGGACTAGTTCACTACATATGAAGGAGTTTCGAGTGGTGCAGTGATTATGAGAAACAATGCGCCTTAAAAAGTTGTTGAAGTTGGTACTATTACGATCAAGATGTTCGATGGGATTGTCAGAACATTTACAGATGTCAAGCATGTTCTAGAACAGAAGTGGAAACTTATATCTTTGAGTTCTGATAATAGCACAAATTGTCATGTTTTCATCCATTTATACTTGTATTTGCATGATATATTGATGCCTAAATGCGGTGGGTACCGTTATATTTTGATTTAGGTTACAAATGGATGAATATGGTGGAATTTAGAAGAAAAGAGCGAAAAAGGACTAAAGTGAAAGAAATGGAAAGTTCAGGGACCAAGCTGCAAATAATCTAAAGATGAGATTGGCAATGGAATGATGATTGAAGAAATTTAGAAGTCCATTGGGTGTAATTAAAAGTCAAAAAAGTTAAATATGACCATAATATTTTCACAAATCAAATTTCGATCGCATGAGAATTTTTCAGATTTTCAGCCGGAGATTAAAATCCACTTTTGATCTAGTAAATGTTCAAATTTGGAAAGAGCTCTAGAAAAATTGTATCCCTTTATGTTAGCTCTTCAACGCACTTTGAATTGACTTAATCGGACATCAGGAGATAAAGTTATGCTAAAATACTGAAAGCAGTCGCACAGAACAATTTTTGGCCGAATCTTTAAGTTTCCTTATTCCATTCAACCTCTTTTGCAAATAATTTGGCACTCGATTTTAAACCCTACTTCGACCAGAACACGTCCCTCCTCATCTCCTATCTCATTTCTCTCATCTTGGGCTTAAGAACTTCATGAAATTCTAAATATTTTGGTGAAACCACAAAGGATCTTGATCGAATTTGGAGATTTTAACATCTTTTCTTTCATGTAACGTACTTTTCATTATCGAATAACTCTAGGATTTAGATTTATACCTTATTATACTTTTGAAATTTGTTTAGCTTTTATTAAATTGTTCATGGATTCAATTATGTTTTTTCATTGAATGACGAAAATATTTGTTGGATTTAAACTTCAATTGATTTATTGATGTGATTTGATTACTGTTTTATGCTTGAGGTATACAATCATTTCTTAAATCGTATTTCAATAAATCAAAGCAGAATATATTCTTAGGAAGCCTAAATTCTAGAATTATAAGTGAAATTAAATTGATCTAGGTTTTTCGTCATGAATTGGTTTTGAAAGTGGTTTAATTCTTATTAGATTTTTTTATAGAATTTGTCATGCTTTTTTTATAGTTTGATCGAATATTTATTGAATTCCAATTTCAATTAATCTCATTGGTATGATTCCTTACTGCCTTATACTTGATGTATATGGTCGCTTTTGAATCTGATTCCAATAGATTAACATGGGAATGTATTATAGGAACCAAAATTTTTTAGTAAGATGCATGAATGATCGATGTTGATTGATCCAATTCAGGAGAGTGAATTTTAGTGCTTCACTAATCTAACACTTTGATATTTAAATTTAATTCAATTTCATAAATCCCTCTCACAACCACTAAAACTCTAGCTTGTCAAATCCTTTAACAATTCGTCCATTCCTTGTGGAGTCGACACCCCAAAAGTGCTACATCTACTGCATTATTCTTTAGGCGTAACCAAGTTTTGGCGTCATTGCTAGGAAAACGGTACAAATAATTGAATGATTCTCGAGCAAAATGGTGACTTCGTTTCTCTTCTACATTATTTTAGTTAGTTTAGCTTTATTTTTAGTTATTTTGTTATTTTTCATCTAGTTTTATTTTTTTATATTTTATTAACAAGCATTACGACGAGCGAGCGCGATTTATTGCAAGGCCTCAACGAGTGTTTGAATCACATTCTAACCCTCTCTTTGATTCTGCATCTCGAATATCACATTACACAATACAATGACTGATGGTGAGCACGACGATGCACCCTATAGGACTTTGCATGATTACCTTCATCCTACACGCACATCTATACCATCATGCATCATGTTTTCACCTAACATTCCATGTATGGACCTAATATCGGGAATTATTTAACTCCTTCCTAATTTTCATGGTCTTGAAAGCTAAAATCCATACGTGCATATTAGGGAGTTTGAGGAAGTGGTGGCAACCTTCCATAGACAACATGGTATGTTGGATGCAGTTATGCTAAAATTTTTCCCATTTTCACTCAAAGAACGAGCAAAGAGCTGGCTGCATTCACTATGACCACGTTCGATTGGGACTTGGGCTGAAATGACCTAGGCATTCTTTGACAAATACTTTTCCCATCATAAAACAACTGCTTTGAAAAAAATAAATTTCTTATTTTGTCCAAAAGGACAACAAAACTTTATCTCAAGCATGAAAAAGGTACAAAGGATTCCAAACCTTTGCCCCCATCACCGGTTATGAAAGTTGGCATATGGTGAGTTATTTTTACGAAGGGTTAATACATAGGGAGCGTCAATTTGTTGAAATGATAAGTAATGGTGAATTCCTACAAAAAGATCCAAATGAGACTATTGAATACTTAGATGACCTAGCAGAAAAGGCCCATGTCTAGACTGGACCTAGTGCTATCGAGAGTAACAATAGGTTACGACCTCAAGGAAATTCCACTAGCATAGGCATTTATTACCTTAGAGCCAAGGTAGAATCTCTCACTAGAGAACTTGAAAGCCCTACGTGCTAAAGATTCAAAACCCATGCAATCTGTTTCCCATGTTGAGCCTTTAGGGGTCTATTTTGTGTGTGGTGGTACTGATCATCCAGTGTATGAGTGTGCTACTTACGTTGAGATGGAGGAGTCTATGAGGAGCACTGTAATACTTTAGGTACATATCAAAAGCCCTACACTCCCTATTCTAAAACCTATAATCCGGGGTGGCAGAATCACCTCAATTTTAATTGGAGGATTGAGAACCAACAACCTGCCCAACAAAATCGAGCTTACAATACACCTCCAATTCAGCCCACGTCCTCTAGGAGATACTTTACATGCATTCATTGAGGCACAAGGTAAAACAAACCAAAAATTTGAGACTATGATTAACTAGGTAGTTGAGGAAAACAAAGAGATAAAAAATCATATGTCTAAATTAGCCAATGCTTTAGTTGTAGAGAACGTGGGAAATTTTCAACTCAAGTTCAACCAAACCTTAAGGAATAACATATGGCACAAACCTTATGCTCAGGAGAAAATAACCTTAAGGAAGTTAATGCCATAACTACTTAATCTGGAAAAGTTATAGAAGTAAAGAATTCATCTAGAGTACCATTCCATCAAGCTCTTAAGTCTACCTCAAAACCTACTTGACAACATAGTGAAATCCTAGAACACCTCAAACAGGTAAAACTCAATCTACCTCTCCTGCACGTGATTCTCAAATTTCTAAATATGCTAAAATCCTTAAGGAGTTATGCACTATAAAAAGAAAACACCAAGTGCTTTCCTGACTTAACAACTAAGTGCAATATTTGAGCAAAG